ATATCTTCATGGTGAAAGATAAATGTCTGCTAAAATCACCTTGATCCCTCCGAGTCCAGGGTATAGCTGGGAATACGATTCGACACAGGCCAAGGCACGGTACAGCTCTCTTTAGTAAGTGCAGTCAAGTAAGTAAAGGATGTTGACTCTCATATTACCTCAGCAGAGAAAGTTTTGATCCAGGTCCTCCACCATAGGTCTAATAAGATGGCACAAGGGAGGACGTTAACTTTCCTATAGGAATTCCTTGGACAGTGAAAACTATTAATACCATCCACTGGGGTTGAGGAACTTTTCTCCAAAATTGAATATGTTCATAAAAGGGACATCCTTAACATCCAACACCTCTCTTCTGCATAGGTTGCAAGAGCCAATATCAACAGGGTTTTCACTTCTGTGTATATTCTTAAGTACCTCCATGGGACCTCCCAAAAGAGTTCTTCCCTCTTCCATCATGTCCAGTGCTACTCACCTTTTTCTGAAGGTTTTGATATTGAAAAAAAAAATGGGCCTAAATAAAAGGTTTTTCAGGTGCAGTGATTAATACACTTCTGAAAGTCAGGGGAAGTGGATATGCTCAGCTACATTTACAGAGTTTTCCTTGTCTATTTCCAATTATGTGATCATTCAAATTCCTTCTACCAAGGAGGTTCTAAGTTCTTCAATCCAGCATGTCTCAGCACTCTCTGATCTCTCTTTTCGTGAATGGGCTTTGATATGGAGGCAGGGCCGCCACCAGAAATTTTGGGGCCCCTAACTGGGCACAGGGTCTGGGCCCTAGGGGCCCGCCTCCAAGACTGCCCACAGGGACCGCCTCCAAATCTCGCCCACAGGAATACACACACAGACACAAACACATTCACTGATACAAAAGGACACAGATACACGCACACACACATAAATACTAACAGACACACATACTCATACGCATACATACTGACAGACACATACTGAGACATGCACACATATACAGACACACAGGCGTACATAGTGACAGACAGACACATACTAACAGCCATACATACACACATTCATAATGACATGCATACATACATACAGACAGACATGCATGCATACATACATACAGACAGACATACATACAGACATACATACATGCATACAGACAGACATGCACACATACATACATACATACATACAGACATGCATACAGACAGACATACATACATACAGACATGCATACATACAGAGACATACATACCTACAGAGACAGCCATACATACAGACGTACATGCTTGCATTCAGACATACATACATGCATACAGACACACATACATACAGACAGACATACATACATACATACAGACATGCATACAGACATACATACATACATACAGACATGCATACAGACATGCATACATACAGACATACATACAGACATACAGACATGCATACACACACACACACAGCTCATTTTCCAGCCACCCTCCTGTTTCTTACCTTTTTTTGCAGGAGGGTGGCTGGAAATGATGAGAGTCAGCGCGGCTCTCCCTCTTCACTGCCGGGCTGTCTCTCCTCCCGCACAGAGTGAGCTGGGAGGAAGTGACTACTTCCTCCCAGCAGCACTTGCTGCGGCTGTTTTTTTTTTTTTTTTTAAACGGGCCCGGTTACGCTATACCACGGCCACAGCGCTGACCGGGCCCCTGAAGATATAGGGCCCATCGGGTGGCCCTAAGTGCGTGGGCCACCCGATAGGCCCCATCAGCGTGCGGGCCCCGGTGCAAGTGCACCGGCGGCAATTCCGCCACTACACGTGGGGCCCGGGCGGCCAGACCCCCCAGGGCCGCCGGGCCCATGACAACCGTTATGGTTGTCACCCCCGATGGCGGCCCTGTATGGAGGTATCTAAATATCTGTTGGCTGCATGTATATGTTTCCTCAGTTAACCATTGCTCCTGTGGACTTCTCACCCCTTTTAACCATGAGACTCTATCTCTCCATAAATTAATATTAACTTAGCTCTATCGGTGACATTAGCATTGGGCAGAAGGATATCAGATCTTCACGCACTATTTTGCACAAAACCATGTACTGTCTTTTACAATACAGAATAATCCTCAATCTGTTCCTGAATTCAGTCATAAAGTGGCTTCTTCTCTCCATGTTAATCAAGAAATTATTCTTCCAGCTTTAAAAGCCTTTTGATTGGAATGAAGAATCCGTAATTAAACTTTCTCCTCTTGTCCTAGCTAGATATCTTAAGATATATTTCTATAGATTCACTATCTGGCTTTCTTCTGATAGTTTATTTATCTTTACTAATGCACCTGGAGAAGTCTTCAGTCTCTATATAAGCCATAAGCAGAGGGACATTTTCAGGCTACTAAACCCTACAGATTATAGTACCTGAAGGTCTGTTAGCTCTCCATTAGAGCCGTTTGGCTGCTTGGTCCTCAATCAATACGTTTTCAGACATTTTCTTTGATACATTTGAGTAGGTCAGTTTGGTAATGTGGCAATAGTGGGCAATCAGTTTTCAATTTCCAATGTCCTTATGAGTTGTGTGTGTTTTCACTTTGCATTCATAATTTGGAAGTCTTGTGTATTTCTTCCTTCCCTTGGTTATTGTTTGGGATTACCCATTGTTGTGCTGCCATGGATATGGCCAGGAAAAATAAAATTTATTCCTACATACTGTAATTTTCTTTTCCTGGTCATAGGCCATGGCAGCACAAAGATCCCGCCCTTGGATATTGTTGGAGACAAGACTGAGGCTGGGAGAGATATGAGGGGTTACTTATACCTTCTGTTTTAATTAGTTTCCTGTCTAATTAGGGATAGGGAGGAGCTACCCATTGTTATGCTGCAATGGCCTATGAACAGAAAAAGAAAATTACAGTAAGTAGGAATACATTTTCCTATATACATATAATAAAAAATATGTAATATTACATAACCCAGTAATGTAATGTAACACTGTAAAGGAGTTTAAGCATGCGTGGGATAGGCATAAGGCTATCCTAACTATAAGATAAGGCCAGGGACTAATGAAAGTATTTAGAAAATTGGGCAGACTAGATGGGCCGAATTGTTGTTATCTGCCGTCACATTCTATGTTTCTATGTAATTTGAAAGTATTCTCATTTGGTATTATGATCCCCATCAGGGATATAATGTAGAGTAGACTTTCCAGGGATAAGGTGCAGTAAATTTGTTAGAGATAATTGAAGTGCCGGGAACAAAAAAAATAAAACTACTTAAAATAAAAAAAAAGTGCAATAAATGGTCAGACACATGGGTAAAGGTAAATATATTTAATGCAAAAAACAAATGAGTTAAAAAAACACAACACGTTTCATCAGAGAGGTCTTACACTTGAAGAAGCCTCTCTGGTGAAACGTGTTGTGGGTTTTTTTTTGACTCATTTGTTTTTAGCGTTAAAGTATATTTGGCATTTACCCTACCCTAATATCTCCCCCCATGTGACTTATTCATTCAACCTCCCCATGTGTCTCATTTCCTCTCTTCCCTCCCCCATTTGTCTTACCCGCCAGTGTAAATTTTGGAGGCATTTTAATTTAGTTTTAGTAATAGTCTTTTGACTAAACAGACATTTTAGTTTTAGTCATTTTTTAGTCATCTGAATTTTTTAGTTTTAGTCAAATAATTCATTTAAAATTTTAAATTTTCACATGTTCTAATTAACTAATAGAAAAGCCCTATCAACCCTGGCTCTGGGTGAGAAAAGCTCAGCTTGAGAAGGAATAACTCCCGCCACACTCAGACCAGAAGACCTTTACTCCCAATGATGGCAATCTTTATGTGTAGTGACTGTAGGGATGACAGAATTAGGAAACCCCAATGGCATAGTATAACACAAATATATTCCATAAAAGACAATTAAAACTGCTTACTCAAAGCATTGGTGAGTTATACCACTAATCCCCACAAATGAGCAGAATGCGACTAAATAACGCTGACTTTTGTACAATACTTCCGGGCTTCGCCAGATGCCGGATCCAGGCTCCACCTCCTAGTGACATCTCTCGTGCCGCGTTTTGCCCTCCTCCACCTTTTTTTGTTCATAACTCCTCCTTTGTTTGCATCCAATTGGTTAAAAGTCCATTTTGGGGGCGGGGAAAGTCCTTTCTACACATATACATTGAAGTCCATTTAATTACTCTAAAAAACCTATAGAAAGTCCATCTATATTCAAGTCTTGTGGCAGCTATTTATACATTCTGCATCATCAAATTCTTAAAGGGACACTCCAGACACCCAGACCACTTCTGCCCATTGGAGTGGTCTGGGTGCCATCTCCCACTACTCTTAACCCTGCAAGTGTGATTATTGCAGTTTTTTTTATAAACTGCAATAATTACTTTGCAGGGTTAACTCCACCTCTAGTGGCTGTCTACTTGTCAGCCACTAGAGGGCACTTCCTGGATCATGGCACAGATTATCTGTGCTAGAGCGTCGATGGACGTCCTAACACTGTGTGAGGACCTCCAGCGTCGCTCATTTCCCCATAGGAAAGCATTGAAAACCTTTCCTATGGGGAGCTCTAATGCGCATGCGCATTAGGTCTCCCCGGCCGGTGGGCAGGATCAGTCTCGCCCACCGGCCGACGCAATCACTGGGAGGAGAGGCGGCGGAGGAAGAAGCAGCGACGTGGGACATGTCGCTGCCTCTGGTAAGTAACTGAAGGGGTAAGTAACTGAACAGGACCCTGAGGGACACCACTTGCCACCTCTGTCCAGCTTGAAAATGTACCATTAATGACAACTCTCTGTATTATATATAATTTTTTTTTTTTTACAATTCTTTATTTTGGTTGTGCATGAAAAGTTATATCAGTTTGGTGGTCTTGACAGAATATCAGGAAAACAGAGTAGTTTTGCAAATTTCAAGTCAAGCAACCTGCACATTTTAGTAAAAAAGCTTAGGCAAGGTGAAAGATTAGGTTAAGTATAAACACGAGTGAAAGACAGTGCTGCTTTGCAAACATGCATATCAGACAAAATTATAACAAATTCAAACAGCACCAATGAGTGAGAACTATGAGTAGTACCACCGGGTATTATGTGTCATATGAAACTAATTTATAGACAGTATTGCATTAAGAGCAGTATAATATAAAGAGCCAGGTAAACTGAGGCATGAAAAGCATTAGGGGGTAGACAGGTTAATTAGCCAATGCCTAACATTTCGTGTGTGCTGGCCTGATTGCAAACACAAGTCCTGCATGTTCATACCTCACCAGCCCCAGGCTGCTATACAGTCTGAGTCGCCTGACCCACAGGTTCCCCTCTGAGCTATCTCCAGGATTTGGTCTGGGAATCTTCCGACTTGCTTTTTCCGCTCAAAGTGAGTAAGGAGCCTTCGAGGGCATGGGAGTTGTGCAGGGCAGTGTATCGAGGTGGACTTGATGGCCCAGGAGGGTGGTGGTTCACAGCAAAACTGCATTGTCTGCGTTGAGGTGTCCCATGTGACTTTATTTTCTGCGTCGACTGCTTTGGTTTAGGGTTTTGCCCTAGGGTACGCTGTGTGACTGTGTGTCGGTGAGCGTTAGGTTGGTTCCCAACAATAGTCGAGGATAGTTGTGGCCGTTGGTGGATCTGCATCCAGAATTGAGACCAGATACTGTCCAAGGCGCTGGTTAGTCATTCCTCATGTGAGGCCCAGGCCTCGGGAGTGTGGTGAGGTGGTGGCTTTGTCCCCTACCACCACATCCTATCTAGCCTTCCTTACATTTTCAAGTTAGTTAAGGTAATGCTGACTTTGGTCTCTAACATTGTGGCATGTCTCCTTTTTTCTACACTCAATACATACATGTTATCTCTGTCCCAGACTATATACCAGAAGTTTCCGCTTGTTAGTAAGAAGGTAAGGAGACAAGTGGACATGTGAGTGCTAGGGAGCAGTCCTTAGAAAGCTTGGACCGAGCACATAATTAGACACATTTATGCCAAGCTCAGGGTGATGTCTGCGTAGTATGCCCTTAGTTGGCCAGCTTACATGATTGGCAGGCAGCCTTACATGCATTCATGCCAGGCTGGCCTTCCAATTCTTTGGCCAGACATGCCCCCTTTTTGGGCATGTTCGCCGCTTTCGGCAGTTCTGGTAATGTGATTCATGTCAGTGGCACACCCTTTTACTCCACAAATTGACTTCCTACTTCACTGGACACTGCTGTTAGGGGTCATGGATTTACTTGAGAGATAAAAGCATTCATTTCCATAGGGTATGTGTTTTCTTATAGCTGCATCCTATGAATTTCCCTCCAGCACCATCTCCATCAGATACATAACGCTTGGGAGGTATAACTGTTTTAGTGTTTTTGGTCGATCAGATTCTGTAATTGGGCATATCATAATTGTCAGAACCAGGGCACTGGGCTCTTTATCTGGCCCTGCTTGTGCAAATATGACAGATGTGTTTTTCTTTAATGCTTTCCTATTCATATTAGAATATGCTAATTCACATTTTCACCACCAGATGAAGGATGTACATGTATGTTTCAAGAGTGGCACAGTTTTTTTTTTTTTTTTTATTCTTTATTTTTCTTGTGCTTATGGTTACAACATGCTTGCAGCGCCACGACGGTGTGTACAAGCTATTCAATATCATACAGTGTCATGGCAGAGCAAACAGCACATTTATATTTTTGAGATATAACAGGTATGGTACAAGTGGATAGAACTTTTATAGCTAGTTTATGCATGCTAAGTTGAGCAGTGTGGATATGGTTCTTAAGTTTCAGGCTATGCAAGTTAACGACAGGTATAGATTTTCTACACTGCTTGGATTTAAATTTAACCACCAGGGGGCAGCGAGCCTCTGAGTTTGCTGGATAAACTGACATGTAGGCTTATCTATTTTTAAATGAGTTACATGTGGGTCTGCTGAATAGGGTCAGCTGCAATAATGCTAGACATAACAGTATGAATAAAAACTAAAACAGAAGACACAAAGCGTTCTGCTGGGCTTTTGATTGTGGTTATACAGGGTTAGCAGTCACTTAGTTACTCCTGCAGCTGTGCGGGGTCGGCTTGTGTCCTGGCTGTAATCAAGTCCCTGGTGTTCCCCGCTGGTTGCGTGAGTGCCCAGGCACCCGTTGGCCAGGAGTACGTTTGGTCGCATGTCTGCAGGCTTCAGCCTCAAGTATGAAAAGAGGCTTGTGTCCTATGTCCGTTGCACTTCTGTGCCCATTCAGGGTTATAGTCCCAAGTGAGTCCCCGCAGATCTACCGGAGACCATGTGAGATGCTGCCTCAGATAATATATAAGCTGTGCTTACATGCTGACTGTGCCCTCCTTAGAGTCGTCCGGAGGGTGGAAAGAGTGTGTTGTTGTTTGCGGGACACAGTCAGTGCTTGGTGTTCTGGTCCACCTCTGTTTCCAAACGGTGCCCAGCGGTTGCTCTATTGCTGCCACCTCCATTCTCCAACTAGTGAGGGACGCGGCGGCCATCTTGGGTTTCGCCATGCGGTCCCTAGTCTTTCGGCTCGAAGCCCAAGCGTCATGAGTGATTGCTTCTCCGGTGGGGTCCGGGATAACCCCCCCGGCCCACAGGGGGGGGAGAACCAGGCCCTCAGTAGGCGTGCGAGAGGTTCCGCCGGACTAAGCACGGGAGACCGGCCGCATCTCCCGCCAGAGCCTCGCGACGGGCCGCAATCCCAGCTGCCCAGTAAACAGCATCGCCGGTAGGACGGGGGTCGGTATGTGCACCAGGAGTTGTGCTCCGGTCCCCTGTGTCGCCTATTAGCAGCTGTGTGGCTTTTTCAGGGGAGGAAGAGTTATTTGAAGCTAAATGTTTAGGTTTCATGGAGGAGCCGAGCTGTTCCACGTCCATCCAGCTTGGCGGTCAGGCCCTGCCCCCCCAGTGGCACAGTTTTTAACTTTCCCACTAGAGGTCTCCTACTCCACACAGGAAACATATCAGATTGCAAAACAAGAAACAGTGAGACTTCTACATACTAATTTTCTTACTTTTTTAAGAGCTTTTTCTATAAATCTGATTTCCTATTTAGTGCAGACTAACATACCAAAAGAACATACGCAATCAGTAAAGCTGTATATACTTCTCTCTGTCTTAGTAATGTAGCTGGAACCAGAAGGCAATATACTATAGTGAAGTATTGTTAGATAAATGATGGATAGGTAAAATATTAGTTGCACTCACGTGAATCAGGGGAAATATAGTGATGTCACCATAAGTATTAAGGCCGTTTGGCCTGTAATTGTGGGAGGGGCATGTATTTTCCCTACTTAAAGGGAACCCTTACTTTACTCACCTTCCATGGTCTAGCGATTTGCATGACCCTCCCTCCACTCCCACTACTCAACATATCCTTTTTTTTTTCTTCTCCCCTTTTCTCCTCTTTTTACTCTTGAGTGGGCCCATCTTTTATTTACAGGCCCTACCTCAGTCGAGGCACTCAGTTAAAGTAAAAAAAAAAAAAAATTAACCCTTACCCTCCTTCTCCTTCCCCATGTACTTACCGATCGCCGCCGTTCCCCCGCCGGCAATCGTTTTCTTCTGCAATTTAGGACCCCCAGGGGCCATGTGACTGCTCTAAAAGAGTGGTCACATGGCTGAAATAGGTGTCCACAGTGCTGCCAGCAGGGGGACTGCCTAAACTTACAGGCAGTCCCCCTGCTGGTGGAAAAGGTTGAAAAAAAGTTGAAAAAATAAAAATAAAGTTAATAATAAATAAATATATATATGATATATATATATATATACATATATTATATCTACATATAATATGTATATTTCCTGGCCATATCCTTGGCAGCACAACAATGGGTAGCTCCTCCCCTATCCCTAGTTAGACAGGAACTAATTAAAATAAGGGTACAAATACCCCCTCCTACCTCCTCCTCCCTCAGTCTTTTTGTTCCTGTCCTATCCCTATAGGACCAAATTAGTCTATTTTCAGGACTATAATCACTTTTCTTTTATGGCTTACCTGAGGGTTTTTCAGCCTCTCTTCCTTGGGAAGCTTCAGTATCCGGCCCAGTGCAAAGGTGTCCCCCTGAAGATACCCCCTTAGTGACCGGGGGTTTTACTTGCAGTGACCCTAGGGGTAGCAAGAGAAAAAAATGCCAAATAACTCTGATTCCCTGCAGTGACCAAGAGGTAGCAGGAAGTGGCAAGAAGACTTTATCCTGGATGGATTTCTACATATTGAAACAGCCCACATGTATGTATGTACAAATACTTTTTACCATATATATACTGTATTTGTTAAATCATATGTGTGGGTTTTCCCCCCCCCCCTGCCTATTATTTCTGTGTACTTTTCATTTCTTTCTCGCCTTCTCGGCGTCCTGTTTGTCCGGGTGCGCATGCGCGCCGTTTCGCGCGTGCACGTTTGTATCGCGTGCACGCTAGCTTCATTCGCGTGCGCGCCGGATCGCGCGCACGCTATACACCGCGCATGCGTCTGGTCCCCATGAGGCAGTTACAGTGCCTCCTACTCGGAAGTAGCTTCCGGGTTTGTGCCGCGCATGCGCAGTTAACGAGCGGTGAATTCGCTCGTTTTAAGCATGCGCAGATAGGCGGTGACGTCAGATATGACGTCACACGCCTATTTAAGCGCCAAAGTTGGACTAAATTGTTACCTGATGTCCTCATTAGGTCTTTAGAGGACCTGTTTTCATACAGTTTTCAATTTGAATTGCGTTTCAATTTTACAGGAAAATCTGAAGGTAAGCTTTACTTCTTAAAGGTATATACACATTTTTTCATTTCTTTACTCCTTTCTTTCTATAACAATACAAATTCCTTTTTTAGACTGTTTAGAATCAACTCCAAAATGGAGAAAGACAAAAGGAGATCAATTTCTTCTGATTCGGACTCTTCTGGATATAAAAATAGGTCACACTCTAAGAGTTATAGGTAAGCCATATCACATCATTTATTTCCTTTCCGGAATATGATACATGAAATAAAAGAGTGCTAATATGATATATTTCCCTATCATGATAGTTCTACGGGAAAGAAAACAGTGAGATCATCCAAAGGAAAATCTCCAAAGAAAAATCAATGCGAAGCCTGTAATAATAAACCGCTGGAAGGCAAACGGTTATGTGCAGAATGTTTATCTGAAGCGGCTGGAACATCTAATCCTTCAATGGAATTTGTACAATTCATAAAACAAGCGGTGGCTCAAGGTATCAAAGAAGCAGGGGCAAGTCACAAAAGACCCCGGTTACATGAACCTTCAGATTACCAACGTAATGATTCGTCAGATGAATCCATGGATATGGAATCATACCAGGGGAATTTCTTATCTTCGGAGGAAGAAGAAACTCAAGCCCCTGCAGATTTTCTAGAACCTGCTCAGATAGACCACCTCATTTACAAAGTCCGTAAATCTTTGAGCTTGAAGGAGGCAGTTGCAGAGCAGTCAACCTCTTATCGTTATTTCTCAGACTTGAGAAAGAAAAGAGCTACCTTTCCAGTGCATGATACTATTAAGGAATTAATTAAAGACGAGTGGTCTAACACAGATAAGAAACTTTCAGCACAAGGCAGAATATCTCGCCTCTATCCTTTTGACAAGTCTGATTCATACCATTGGGATAATGCCCCTAAGGTGGATGCGGCAGTAGTTCGACTCGCAAAACATACCACATTACCAGTAGATGATGCAGGCTCATTTAGACACCCAATGGACAAAAGATGGATCTGCATCTCTCAAAAGCTTATGTAGCAGCAGGGACTGGTTTTCACCCTGCAATAGCCCTTACTTCAGTGTCCAGGGCCTTAAAAATCTGGATCGAAAACTTGGAAGAAGATATCAGAGATGGGAGAAACAGATCTTCTCTTCTGGAAAGATTAAATGATATTAAACTGGCCATTGACTTTACCTCAGAATCCTCGGTGGACATGGTGAAAGCTTTAGCAAGAAACATGGCTCTTTCAATTTCAGCTAGAAGAGCTTTATGGCTGAGATCCTGGTCCGCAGATTCGTCATCAAAGTCTAGTCTATGCGCCCTTCCTTTTCATGGTGAGATGTTGTTTGGTAAAAATCTAGACGAGTGCATCAAAAGAGCTGCAGAAGGTAAAAAAGCCTTTCTCCCACAAGACCGGAAAACCCGTGGATCCTTTCGAGCCAGAAGATACTCTGAATACCCCTCTTTTCGTGATACCAGATCTTATAAACCAGGAAGAGAATATGGAAGATCTATTCCATGGAGAGGAGGTCATTCATCCAACAGAGGAGGAAAGTCTAGAGGTTCCTCATTTCACAAGAAGCCTTTATGACAAACCCACCTACCATTCCGGAGGAGTAGGTGCCCGTCTACTTCTATTCCAGAATATGTGGAAACATTCAACTCAAGACAGATGGGTGCTGGATATCATACAAAGAGGTTATCTTATAGAATTCTCCACAAGGCCGCCTCCTCGCTCCTTCCAGAAGACAATCTGGCCAAGAGATATAGAAAAAAGAGATTCCCTAAAAAAGTTTATCTCATCCCTTCAAGACGATGGAGTTATCGTTCAAGTTCCAAGAGCTCAACGAACACATGGGTTTTACTCCCATATCTTTCTCACCAGAAAATCCACAGGGGGATGGAGACCAATATTAGACCTAAGCAGACTAAACAAGTTCCTAAACATAAGGAAATTCAAGATGGAGTCTCTTCAATCCATTGTAAAAGCAGTTTTTCCAGATCAATGGCTCATGTCAATAGACCTGGCAGACGCATATTTCCATATTCCCATAGCACCCCAGCATCAAAAATTCCTCAGATTCGCTGTAGAAGAGGGTCATTTTCAGTTCCGTGCTCTCCCTTTTGGGCTAAGCACTGCTCCGCGTACTTTCTCAAAAGTTCTGGTGGTTCTCATCGCAGAACTCAGGAAGAAAGGCATTGCAGTATATCATTACCTCGACGACATCTTGATTCTGGCAGAAAACAGAGATATATTAGAAGATCACGGCCTGATATGTATACAGTATCTTCAACAACACGGATGGAAGATCAATTTTGCCAAAAGCAACCTAAAGCCATCCCAGAGCATGATATATCTAGGAGCAGCATTCAACACTGCAGAAGGTTCCGTCCAACTATCCACAGAAAGGGGTATGAAAATTCGGAAAAAGGTCAAAGACATGTTAGCATCCAGTGTTTCCTCAGCAGAGACAACTATGAGCCTCCTGGGATCAATGTCCTCCACCATAGGACTTACGAGATGGGCCCAATGGAGAATGAGGCCTTTCCAAAGGAATTTCCTTTCTCAATTCAAGGGCAATCTGTCTCAACCTATAGTGATCCCTCCTCACGTACAAGAATCCCTGAAGTGGTGGACCCAGAAAGAGTCTCTCTTCAGAGGTTATCCCTTAGGAAATATTCCATGGATCATCATCACCACAGATGCCAGTCAATGGGACTGGGGAGCCTACCTTCAAGACAACTATGTTCAGGGGAAATGGACTTTTTCAACCTCCAACACCCCTTCGAATCTTCTAGAACTTCTGGCAGTTTTCAAGGCTCTAATGCACTTCCAGCAACTTTTACTTCACAAATGGGTCAAGATCAGGACAGACAATGCCACAGTTGTGGCATATATAAATCACCAAGGAGGGACGAGAAGTTGCAGAAGGATGAAACTTATGAAACCTTTGATGTCCTGGGCTCAAATGAATTTGGAGAATATCTCTGCAATACATCTCCCAGGAACTCAGAACTCTGTGGCAGATTTTCTCAGCAGGGTGAGATTAGACCCGGGAGAGTGGAGTCTATCAGACATAATATTTCTACAGATCGTAGAAAAATGGGGCCTTCCCCAGATAGATCTAATGGCTACAAGCAACAACAGAAAAGTCAAGAACTTCTTTTCGAGAATTCCAGATCCCCAGGCCATAGGAAGAGACGCATTGACATGCAGTTGGAACTTCGACCTGGCTTATGCCTTTCCTCCGAAACCCCTCATCTTCCCTCTGCTAAGGAGACTACGACAAGAGAAGGCATCACTGATTCTAATAGCCCCTTTTTGGCCTCGCAGACCTTGGTTCCCGCTCCTACTAAGTCTGTGCAAGAAGGATCCATGGCGTCTTCCAGTTGTCCCATTCCTGTTACATCAGGGTCCAATTCATCATCCAAACCCAGCATCCCTTCGTCTGATGGCATGGTACTTGAAAGGGATGGGTTAAAGAACAAGGGGTTTTCGAGATCAGTAATCGAGACACTTCTTCAAGCAAGGAAGAAGTCCACTTCATCCACTTACTACAGAATATGGGATGTATTTTCTTCATGGGCCAGTTCAAGGCCCTTTGATATTTTGAACCCTTCAACTACTGACATTCTTGATTTTTTACAATCAGGTCTAGAGAAGGGATTGAGTTATAACACTCTAAA